GAAAAAATCCCTGTACCCCACCTCAGCGATGGTCTGGTCAAAAATCACAATTTTTTCGATAACTCAGCCATTTCTTGGCGGATCCTTTTCATCTTCGAACTCGACCGAGATATTGTCAAGACTAAACTGTGTAGAAAATTTCATCGCAATCTGACTCTCCTTTCGAAAGTTATCGTGTAAACGGCCGGACGGCCGGACGGACACACAGACCGATTTTAGTAGTGTACTCACTTTTTGAGTACACTAAAAAGCGCCAGGACGAAATCATTATACAAAAATATTGTAATCTATGCCTAATTTTTGTGTATAATTATTCTTTTTATTTCCCCCAGATTAAAAAATTAAATACACAAGTGCATAAGTGAATTCATTTTAGAAATAATCCAATGATTCATTCACATCAGTCAGTAGATCACTTTAACAGTCACTTATATTTGATGAATGAATTAATTGCTTAGTTGAACTAACACTCGTTTCACGAGTTTTTTTATTTCTTAATTGTTCTTGTAATTGCTGTGTCCAATTAACCATTATATTAATAGGATCTTTTGTTTTCAATGTTGAATTTGTTGATTCATTTATATCAACAGCATAAATATGTTCATCATCTAATTCTTTTTGTTTTTGTTTAGCCATAGTAGCAACAGTAAATGATTGTATAAGTACATTATCAGGTGTTGTACTTTGATTTAATGTTCGATATCCATTATTTTGAGAATTTAATAATGTTTGATTATGTATATGTTCAGGATTCCACACTGTATTCATTACATGATAATTCGTTCCGTTTGATGTTAATATTCCATCAGATGTTGATATATTTTTTACTCGTAAATTATTATCACTTATAGATGAATTTGATGCATGAAGATCTTTTTCATTGATATTTTCATCATCATTTTGTTCAGAACAACATTTTAAGCGATAACATGTACATCCAATAGTATTAATAATATTTTCCCAAGGTAAATCAGATAATGTTAATATGATTACTAAACCAATTACAACACCAAGAACAGACCAAAATGCAGCTGAACGTTGACTTTGAGTTGGATCATCAAGTGCTGAAAAGTAAAAAAGCACAAAATTCTGCTTAGAATAAATTATATTTCAATCCATACGTATTTCGCAATTTGATCCAGTATAAAATATATCAGAACAATTACATGTATAGTTATCTATATCATCTATACAGATTCCACCATGTAAACATGGTGATGATAAACATTCATTAATTTCAGTTTCACAATGTTGTCCAGTAAATCCTGATGAACAAATGCAAATTTCTCTTCCAACATTCATATAACATTTTGCATTATTTTGACATGGATGACTTTCATTACATGGTACTAATAATAGAGAAAAAAAGAGATTTTTTTCTATTAAAAAAAGAAAAACAAACAAACCTTGATATTCACAAATGAAATTCAATGATTTCTTGTCATCGTCATCAGCTATTTGATAATTTGTTTGATTTGAATTATAAATAAGTTTATAATTCGATCCATTTCCTGTTACTGCACGTTCGTTTACTTCAAAATACCATGTTATTGATTGATTTGACCAATCCCATGATGATGTTGAAACAATACCATCAATCCAAAATTGAGTTTCGATACCATAAGCTAACGAAATTTTGAAAAGAAAAAACCAATTATATTAAATATGAAAAAAAAGAGATAAATGAATTGTCAAGTTAATTATTTACCTTTCATCCAATAATATAATGATGTTTTTTCTGTAACATGTTCAAGTGCAACTAGATGAGTAGTTGAATTTATTACAGTATCATTGATTGACAATGAAGACGAATCATTGAAACAATATTGTCGAGCATCGATCCAGGCCATGTTAGAACCATTTATTATTCTGTAACATCCCAGTGCAATTTGATTGTATTGAGACGGACATCGTATTGTCTCTGCGCCATTAAGTAAAATGATTAGTAAACTTCCGATTATTGTGAACGACTATATAGGTACAAAAGTTAGATTATTCTTCATTGAATTAACATAAAACTTACCATTTAAGATTTTTGTTTTCCTCTTAAGAAATGTTATTTGTTCATTAAAAGATAACTCAAATGAGAACAATAAGAAAGAGAAGAGGAAAAAAATGATGATGAAAAGTAATAAATTCTATAGTTAGTCAGTGTTGGATTCTTCTCGTTGATGACGTTTGTATGTATTCACGTTTCAAGCCCGAATAGAAATAAATAATAAAATAGAAGACAAGTTATGTCTATATGTTTTCTTCTATTCTTCTCATTCAAGTTGAGCAAAAAATAATGAATACGAATGAGAAAAAAAACGCTTTTCCTCATTTCCTTTTCTTCTCATAATAAATTAATTCTACGTTTATGTACGTGCTGATAAAAAGAAAAAAAAAAGAACAACAACTGTAAGAAGTTTAACTATATGCTATAATAGTAAATAAGGAAAAAAATTAGAGAAAACATGCAGAAAATAATGTGTTGTGTAAAGAACACTTATTTTTATAGTCATCTTAAATCTATTGAATAATGTTTAATTTAGTTTAAAAAATCTTCAAATGGAAAAAAATTAAAAAAAAAAGAGTTTCTTTCTTCAAGGATCACAAAAAATTCCGTTGTGTTGGTATTTGTTAATGAGCATGTATAAACAAAGTCAATTTGGCTAGACCTAGCAATGAGATTGTTTAGTCTAATTTGCTTATTAACAATTTTTACTGTAGTTTTAAACATAAACCAGTAAAAACGTTTTTTATTTCATTGCTTGATAAACATTTATTTTCTGAAATTTATTTTTAAAAGAACTTAATGAAAGATTTCCGGTTATCAGCTTTTTAAGTATCGATCGGTTCATGCCAAAAAAATAATATCATGAAGACAAAAGAAAAATCAGCAATACTTTGCCAATTTTTACTATCAAGAATTAATGTATTACTTGTGATCATTGTATAAAAAAAATGATCAAGCCACAACGAGTTGAAAATAAAAGATGTTAAAAATCGGCATGGTGAACTATAGAAATATTGAAAACAAACATTCTACTGTATGAAATGATGAAAGCAAAATTTTCCAAAGTAACGAATTCAAAATTTGAATTGAGATGACAGTAAAAGTTGATAGATATAGTGAAGTACATTAATCATTGGTATTATTAGTGCATACGATAACGGTTCATGTGATTCGATGGAAATTACAGATTTAGGTCAACTAGAACTTAAGAAAACAAGCAGACATTTTGTATGCCCGACATTGAATATCACATCTATGAATAATTCTTTTATTTTACTACTATATAACTTTTTTTTTCTTCACAAACACATTTTGTTTTTTTAAAAGATTCATATAATACTCTTCATATACAAACAGAAGTATTTATTCGTGACTGTAAATGGGTATCTTTTGTTTTTTGGCATTCTATTTTTCGATCAAATTTTTGTTTATCGTATAACGAAATTGTTTTAAAATCTATAGTTGTAAAATATAGCGATGAAAACATTCGTAAAGAACTATAATCTAAAAATCTCGGTGTACTTGATACAAATAAATATAGAATTTTTCACAAGTTTTGAACATCGGCAAAACTAGTTTATATCCAAACAATTCATGATCATATACTAAATGTATTCATATGAAGCTTGAATACTAGTGTCAATGTTTCGAATCATACACTATTAGATGACACCTTCTCTTGTAATAATAGTTATGTGAATAGTAAGAATTTGATGATCGAATTTGACATATAACCAATCATAATAGCAATGAACAATCGTTAAGCGTATGAGTAGTCACACTGTATGCTGAGGTAATGATTCAAAGTGTACTGAAACGCATGATAACATTACAGGCGGAACGAAAGATTTTCATTTTGCAAAAAGTATTTTTATTTTTTTTTCTCATTTTTTAACTGCTTCTTTTGTATATATAAATCATTAGAAATATATGAGAAATAGTTAAGAAAAAATTTCAAGCAGAATTATTGTCGAAGGTTAAATAGTCAAATACTAATTCGATTGAAGAAATAATCAAGAAAAATAGTTTGTATAATGACTACAAAAGAAATAATTAATAAAATTTCTAAACGATTTCGACAAGTGAAACAAGTAGCAGAGAATAGATGCGTAACAGTTATGCAAGATTTTTTGTGTGATCAACTTGATATGATATTTGTGTCAAATATAGTGTTTGTCTTACCATTAACTTTAAAAAAAAGGACATCACCAGATAAGTCAAGAAATCTGATTCCCCCCTAACAGGGGCTGAAACATGTCAAGAAAAGAAAGTCCATGGAAGTTTACATTGTTCTATGTATTTTTTTCTTTAATTTCTTTTCTTCAAATCTAATGACAAAGAGCCGTTTTGTTTAACGGGTATTTTCATTTTATACAATTTTCCAAACATAATAGGCTTATCATATTCATTATAAAAATTTCGTATCAATTCATCATTTTATAAAGTATTATATATCAAAAGATTCAGCAAACATTTCTCTACAAAACTATTATAAATGATCGACAGTTGAAGCTGATATAAGAATAAAAAAGAGTGTATGAATACAAGAGGGTTATTCTAATATCAATTGATGTTTTTTAAATCTAACAAAAATAGTTTTATTGTAACTCATCGTTCTCCCTTATAATGCAAGTGACAGGAGTCATACTTTCCCAAAAATTACTCCTTGAAATTCTCTATAAAATGAGCTAATTTGGATTCAAATAAAAATGGTTCAAAGGGTTCAATCGACTATGTACATTTTTGTCACTGCAATATTTTGATAAATTCAATACATGTTTTTATAAAGACTTCTTTTAGGAATATGTTCGATAATGATGTATTAAAAGTAAATCAGCAAAGAAATCCTAACTAATCTTCAAATTACGTCGTTTGACATAGATTTTATTAGTGTTCTAACTGACATCTCACATTCAATAAGCAATTATTTCATATGAATCAATAGACATACATCATGATGTTTCGTGAATTTCTTCCAATTTACTATTTTTCTTCTTGTTGAACGTTTATATAATGATAAATACTTTTAAAGTTAAGCATAGGTGTGCCTATACACAAATCTGAATTAACCAAATGAACCTTTTTATATATTTACAAGAACTTCAAGGATAGTTTCAAAGTATTGATGAAATCTATCATCATGAGTTTTATAGTTATCATATTATGCATCGAAATAGTTTTTTCATAGTAGATTCGTCGCCTAGTTTATGATAGTTACATTTTAATCTCGATTTAGTATGTTAATATGGTTTTCCTACTGTTGATCTACTTGATGTTTTTCGAAAGGGTTTATTATTTCTTTATTTCTGATAATGTTTTGACATTGTTGTTTTGCTTTTTTTGAATGGTTTTATGTCCAATTTGATTCATTAAGGATTGACGAATTTTCCGAGGACAATTTTTTCGATAAAATCTGAAATGTTTTATTATAATTGGTGAATCTTTTGTCTCGATGTGAGATGCATAGTTCGAACTTCAGCTGGACGATCTCAATGATCATTACTAGATCTATTGAAGAAATAGAACCTAACTGTTGTCTAACAACAGCTATACATTGGAAACTATGTTTTAGAAGGAAATATAGTGAGAGTCCTCTCAACGTACTGTAGAAGAACTATGATACTCTAGAGATTAATAGTAGTTTCTTTTTCTTTTATTTCTTGTTTGAATTCTTTCAAATGTATTCAATGGCTTCAACAATACGTTTTCGAGCAGATGATAACTGAAACTCTTTTAATCGAGCATATGATAAGTACCATATGACGCTTGCTACATGTTCACAGCAGCCTATTTTTCGGGCTCCTGATCGGCATTGACAGGACCAAGCATGGATGATATTTGTTGATAGCGTGTATTATATTCAAGCATAGTAATATGTTGCATTTGAATGGCGACTTTGAATATGACAGCATAAAAAAACGTTATTTTCAGGAGCTACTTGTATAACAGAATTTTCTTTGTCGTCTTAAGTGCTTTTCAGAATAAGTTTTGCTTTGTTTGATTTGATAAATACCAAAAAACAATGATGGTAGATTATTAAAATTCATTTCTGGAAATTCAATATCCTGTTCATCGAGATTTTTCCAGTTCGATCGAGCACTAATTAAACCACGATTAATATCATCTAGTAGTGCTGTTTTTTAACATTTGTTCTTTCATCATTTTAGCGGTTATATCTAATTCAGCATCTTGAGCATTAGTCATAATAGGACCGCTAAATGCGTTAAGAGCAGCAGAAATTATTCTTACAATGTCACCAATTTTTGGGAAAAAAATGATTTTCAATTCGATCGGATAGAATCCGCCATTTTTTCATTCTACCGTGGTATGATCCCACAGTCCACTTTAGTTTTGTTACCAGACGAGATTCATTAGCTTCAACTGTATTGTGTTGGTTTTGGAATTTGTTTAAATAAACGGGACTTTTGACTTCATATCCCAAATCAACTAATGTTTGAATGACGTCCCTAAAACCTCTGTCACATATCATGATGTCACAATAATCGCACCATTGTATTAATTCCTTTCTTGTTTCAATAATTTGTTGTGCAATAGTAGCATCATTGGCCGTTCCTTGGAACTGACCGATCGTATCGAGCACATATCCATCACGAAGGACAAGTGACATGAATTTGACGAGATGGCGACATTTTTGACCGGAATAAGTGGAACGATTTAGATAATGATCGCTACTCTTTTCGATGTAGATATAAGTACCTGTAAAAATGATCTAAAGGATTTTTTTTATCGGTCATTATTCGGGTATGGAGGTGCTAGCTGCCAGTTACTTCCTCGTATTCTTTCCAGTTTAGAACCATTATGCAGCAATAGTTTATCTTACAGCTGAAGAATTATCATGATCGAAGTGAAATATTTCATAGTTTGCATAGGGTGAATGAAACCATACAATTATTAATTATTTTGATCTTAGCATCAACAAGATTCCTTTTTTTTTGTAAACTCTATTTGATCTTTCTCTCAGAAAATATTTCTTTCGTTTAATTCGCAGATGAAATTATGAATATATACCCAACAGACAATAGTATTTCATAAATATATCCTCCTTTGACACTTACCATCCCATATTATAGTTACTCTGTTATCCCAAAACTCCTTAGTAAAAGAAGTATTATGAATAAGTGCTTCATCTCTGGTTAAATGACTAACGCCGAGATTTAATGGTACAAAGTTACGAACAAGAAGAATTTGTACTGAATCGAAAGTATCGGCAACTCGTTTTCGACGAGTTTCAGAATCACCGGCGTAGTTAAATAATGATCCTATTTGATTAAATGATAAGTTAGTTTTAGCTTTTATCCAGAAAATGGCTAAATCATTTCATGATTCACGATTGCATGACGACCGAAGAAATGGAGATAACATATCGAACAGGATATCAAACTGAGCTATATTCCAGTCTGTCCATGCCAGATAATCATCATTTGAGAGCATTGGATCTCGAAAATCGAGACGTGGAGATTTAATAGCTTCTTGTATAAGTGTAAGCAAATCTTCAAATGTAAGTAATAATTCTTGTGGTCGAAGTGTCGTCTTTAACTTATTTTGATCATTCATTTCACCAATATCCATAGGATTCAGTCGACCATGCCTATGGATGTGTTGTTCGCAACATCGGATATTTTGCGGAGCATAAATGCGATGAAGAATAAGAAGATCGAGACGTCAAGGTTTGAGCATGACGATCATATTTGTTGATGAATTACAAGTTCGACGACAAATAATACGGCGATTCTTATTTGATTCAGCATGCAAAACATTTTATAGAGTGATTCCATCATCATTGGTATTGATACTATCGATTGGTAAAGCATCAACTGATGATGCTGATAATGAATCCATTGACGACTTAATATTATAGAAGTATCCTATACATGATGAACAAAGACGAAGAAGATTTTCATTAAACTGAATATTTTTTGTTTGGAGATATTCATGGAACCACTTTTATGCTGAAGACGAGACTGAACGACAATTCAACGATTCTTTCAGCTTTTCACAAAGAATACACTTAACTTTTGGCATATATATTTTATTACGATGCCATAGAGCAAAAATGATTTATGATCGATTTATGAGCATCAAGATAAAATGACATTGACTGGTCAACTACTAAAATTTTATTTGTATCCAATGTAAACATAGATCGATAGACGCCACTACCATTCAACAGTGCTCTTCAACTATCTTTATCATAATTGTACACATTGGAATAATCATAATTTATTATTTTCGTTCGATTGTCTTTCGGCTATTCAATACGGATTACCATTCACACGATGCAATCGATGTTGATCAACAAAAACACACAAACATACTACTACATTCCAGTTATTTTCAATACTATTCCTATAGATTGTCGAACTTTTGTTAGCATGAAACTTTTTCCTAACTTTCCACAGAAAAAACATCAGAAAACTAGATCCATCCATCGTCTGTCATGACCCGTTGCATTTTGCAATGAGCTGCACCATTAGAATCATTTCAGATTTGTTTTAAATTCATGCAATCACACAGAACTACCATAAACTAGACGACGAATGTACTATGAAAAAACTATTTCGATGCATAATATAATAACTATAAAACTCATGATGATAGATTTCATCAATACTTTGAAACTATCCTTGAAGTTCTTGTAAATATATAAAAAGGTTCATTTGGTTAATTCAGATTTGTGTATAGGCACATCTATGCTTAACTTTAAAAGTATTTATCATTATATAAATGTTCAACAAGAAGAAAAATAGTAAATTGGAAGAAATTCACGAAACATCATGATGTATTTCTATTGATTCATATGAAANTTCAAAACTCGAATAATTGTGTCGATTATTTGTAGAAACGAGTAGTGGGTACGTCAGTAACCAAGGACTACAGTTCAACATGTACTACCGGCAATGGCGTTTATTGTTGCCAGAATGAGTTGTGCAACTCATCCAATCCAAAATATCATAATAACTTTGGTCTTCTCTTTCAATTTTCTATTCCAATACTGATACGCTTAAATCTTTAAAAAAAATTGATTGCAAGCTGAATTTAAAACTCTGGTCAATTATTTCAGATTATATTATGTTTTAAATAACGTATCCATGGAAAGATGAACACCGATTTAAGAAATATCATCGCAAAAATTCATTCACAATATTTGAAATACATATTTAAACTATTAAATGTTGATATTCTTCGCTGTAAACTCGATTATGCATACTTCCTTACATATCTCCCTGATCACAAGCAATGCATTATTAATTTCAACAGTTGAGTCAAAAAACCAATGACAAAATCTCTTCGATATACAGTAGATTACTCAATCTTTTAAAGCTCTTCCTAACATAAAAATCAGGTTTGCTAAAAACAAACGGACTTGAAAAAGTAATGTGTTTTTCTGCATTAGCCTCTGCCGACCCTGTAATTATCTTATCGATATGACCTCCTGCTTTTATATTTAAGACCATGTTTTCTATTTACTATAAACATTATATGTCGAATAACCACTTATAATCCTCATGTTACTAATGTTTTGAAACGATAGAAACCGCTTATGTTGATTTGAGAGACTTGTCTTTGTAATAGTTAAATAGTATGACTTTAAATGATAAGTAAAATACATGAAAATGTTTCATTTTTGACACTTAGAAATTCTGAAAATATTTGTGCATGACTCAATGACAAAGCATTATTCTAGTCGTTAAATGTTTTCTCGAACAAAAGCTGCATTCATTAACTTTTATTTTTGAAGCAGCTATAAATAAAATTTATGAATTTTATTAAAGGTTAACAGAAGTATAAAAAAAGGCAATTGTAAATGTAATTCTGTCAGTTAAATTTGTCGTATAATTAAGCCAAGTATAGATAATAGAAAGAGAAGACCAAAGTTATTATGATATTTTGGATTGGATGAGTTGCACAACTCATTCTGGCAACAATAAACGCCATTGCCGGTAGTACATGTTGAACTGTAGTCCTTGGTTACTGACGTACCCACTACTCGTTTCTACAAATAATCGACACAATTATTCGAGTTTTGAATCTGTAAACAAGAACTCACCGTACAGTAGTTATTTCCACCTTCAGTGAACGTCATAGCAACCTTACTAGGATTCCAAGTCGATCCACAATCATTACACTTGTAACATTGGAATGCAGCATTGCTACGTTCAATAACTACAAGAAATTACATAAATTATTTCTTATTGAAATATACGAATGATTTTTGAAGAAGTAAAATGCAAATATTCCTTCGGTAGAAAGTTAATAGTACATTTTTATGTGTTACTCTCGTTTATCTACTTATATCTTACTTCATAAAATTTACTTTTTTTTGGGGAAGAGCATTTGCAATAGACGACTCATTTTCAATTGAACAAGTTTATTAACCTGCTTTGAAAATAATCATAATTAACTACATAGAACTATTTGCAATGTCGAATATAAAATATTTCTGTCTGTATTAAAAAGACAAAATATTCAAAAGTTATAAAGTGAAATTCTGTTTCTCATAGTATTATTTGATTCTAATAAAGGACTTTTCAGTAGTAGAACAAAATCATTCAATATTTCATTCAGAGATTTTTTTATTTACATTCTAATCTTTCTTTTTCTCTTGTTTTCTACCTGTGTTCAAGAATAAGCGGTCTATAACAAATTTCAGCAATATGTTTCAAAGAGGAAATCCAATAATATCGTTTAGATGTTTTGATAAAGATTCGGAAGTGACAATGATGCTGCATACTAACTAAGCCTCTTTTACCCTCTCTCCCCAAAACGTTCGTTTCCGTCAGACTTACTAAAATTACGATAAACGCATGGAAGGATAGTTTGTGCTGAATCTTTCATAAACAATTTAATTTTTTTGGCATATCTTTTTCCAAAAATTTTCAATGATTTCCATCACATTCTACTTCAAAAATACTTTTTTCTCTGTTTATGTTTTTCTGATCGTGCATCCCAGAATTCTCCATGGAGATTTATTATAGCTAATTGCTTTTTTTTCTTTGTTTCAAAGAGCCCATTTTTTTGAGTTTGTCGAAGTATTCAGTTGGCCATTCTTTTTCTCTGCATAAGGATAAAAATTTGAAAAAAAAACGACTCTGTCAGACACTGTAGCCTAACCTGTTCTTTTAAATTAAAAAAGACTAAATTTATCTAATGAGGATTCACGGAGAATTTTATGTTGCCAGATGAGTTGTTTTTTACCCTTATTTGATAAATGTCTCTCAAGAAAACGTTTTGGTATAGAACTCAAAACTTCAAATATTATTTTTACTTACTTGCTACGATGAGCAAAAATACGATAAATGCTGTCGTTTTAATCATAATACACATCTAAATAAGTTGGTATTTTAGTTCTCTTTTGAAACTTGATTCAAAAGAAGACCATATATATTATATTGTCCACCTACTGTTATTAAGAAAATATTTGCACCTGATACTTACTCATCAAATGTTGACATCAAAGTAGAATAGACTTGCTTACCATATCAATAATACCACGCTATCAGAAAGAAGAAGTTAGTATTTTATTTGACAATATTTATTTGATAAAGTAAATTGAGAATCATATGAATCTTTATTTTGTTGGCGTCATTATAATCTTTTCGTACTATTTACTGATGATAACAAATCATGCAAAAATTCATCGTCAAATCCAGAAGTTTCTCGGTTGAGTTAAAAAACTCCTAATTTTTTAACTTTTCATCGATACTTTCAACAAAATCTATTGGTGATGTATAGTTTATATTGCACTAAAGAATATCATATTATAGTGTCTATATTGGAAAAATTCAAACCCCATATTTCAACAAGATGTCTATTCATTCTGCGACAGTCCAGTTAAATATTTTGTCACAGTTTTCAATTGAGTAGGCTTTTCGAGTAATTAAGTTCCAAAAAAAAAATAAAAGGCTTAATTTTAGCAAGCTAGTAAAAACAATTTTACATGTTATCGCCGACATTTATAGTACAAAACAAATTGTTATGAAATTATGTCAACAAGTTAGCTAGATAATTCATTTTTACTTTGATAATGATTCAGAGTCTTAGATTATTTGTTGAAACAGACTTTTTTAACAAATATAGCAAAGCATAATCAGTATGATAATGCTTGACTGGAAATTTTTTATTATCATGCAACGCAAACTCGTTCATTTATTTCAATTAATTATGTATATGAAAAGAAATCATTTTATATACATTTATTGAACTAAAATTTGTTGTGATTGTAATCCATTTACAAGACCAGTTTTTATATTACGCACCAACATTTTTTCAGTAATTTCAATGAATCCTCCATTATTTTGTTCCAAATTAAGTCTCTGTAAATCATTAATTACTTTTTGACTTCCATAGTAACTATGACGGACAACATCTTCTTTAAATCCATGACCTAAAGTTACACATTCAACATCATTGACTAACACTGTATGATCTTTATCCAATACAAAATTATATTTAGCTTCACAGGAAATTTCATTTGGTGATGAGACAAGTGAACAAGGCATAATCCATTGTCCACAATGTCGAATTGGATGCCAAGCAGTTATAATCAAATCATTTTCAAGCTATAAAAAAAAAGAAAGTTTAATAAATGTATCACTTCAGAAAAAAAAAATTTCAGTTGTAAATAAACTAATCATTTTCAAAAAAATAAAAATAAGAAATTTGAATAATTATAATTTATTCCTTTAAAACTATTTGATACTTACTATAACCATTTTTGCTTTTTGATATTGACATTTTGTTATAACAACAAAAATAACGATTCCACCATGTGGTGCCATTCGATCGCCTGGTTTGACATCTTTTACTAATTTAGTGATTCCATTCATAAGACGTACTGTACATTCTCCATGAAAACATCCACCATCAGCATCGTGAAAAACTGCCATATTTATCCTAGCACCATTTTGTAAATGTTTTGGAGCAGGTAAACTGCAAAATAATTCATCCATTTCATCTCGTACTTGTGAGAAAAGTGTACCTTTTCCATAGTGTTGAACGCCTGGATCTTTAAAATTATTACAAAATTGAAGAAGATGAGCACCTGAAAAATAAAATCAATCAGAAATATACTTTTTTTTCTTCATATCTTTTATAAAATCAATCATTACTACCCATCAATCTAACATTAAGATATTATGAATATTTCTCATCAAATATTATTTGTTAATTATCTGCTATATTTATTGAATTAAACTTACGTGTTAAACTAGGTAAAAAGTGTATACCCCATTTATTAAACCATTCTTCTTTTTCGATAGCTTGTTGTACTTGTCCTGTTAAATCTTTAAATAAGTCTTTGATAAACTCATCTTTTCCATCTGCATAGTTTTTTATATTCTTTTCTAATATTTGAATTTGATCCATTGCTGCTTTGTGTTGTACATTTTTATTTCTTGATCTTGTTTTTATTTCACGCATTTTTTCTAATGCTGTTCGTACATAATGAACAAATTCTAATCGAAATTTATGTCGAGTTATGACATCAAGATCAATCTGCTGAATATTATTTGTTATATCGAATGAAATAGATTTCTTCATGTTTTCTACGTTGTTATATGTCAGCGTGAATTTACAATTACGAATAATTCTAGAAGAAAGTGGAATCAGTAAATCCTTGCTTTGACCATATATGATCGAGCCCAGCTGAAAAGAAGTGCCTCTAATACTGATATTCATTAAATACCAACGCGTATAATCCGTAGCTTGAAGATGGTGACCATGAACGAATAACTGTAATAGAAGGACAATATAATAGTTGACATTTCTTGTAAGAGGATATATGAACTTCAAAATAGTATGATCGATTCAATCATAATAGTAATTTAGCCCTTATCACTTTACAAATCCGTTTATACTTTTTGAAATTAATATTAATGTGAAAATTTCAAAATTACTTCACCTATTTCATGTTTATGTATGTATTAGATTAGGTTGAGATTTAGACAAAATTAAACTGAATTTTTAAAAGATTTCACAATTAAAAGAACTCAAGAAAGATGGGAATAAAGAAGTGATTTTATATATTTATTTTAAGTTATGTTCAAGTTTAATTGAAACTTTACTTAAATCTAAGAACTTATTGAGTTCGTGAGTGTATTCAATTGAAATCTAGCTTGTCTTAGCAAGCTTTGACCAGAAAGAAAAAGGATCTTTAAACGTGTGCTTTTTTAGTAGTATTTGTTATTGACACTTATTTGTCTTCAAATTTAAAATGATTCATATGTAATATATAATAGGTAAAGTATAAATATATTATGATATTAATTCTTCTTAAGTTGTTTTTCAAATTAAAAACATCAAAGATTTTTTTAGCTTGTGTTTTCTCTGTAGTAGAATGATAGCTGTCTTCTCTTAGAATATAATACTCGAAAAATTAAATATATTAATTCACTTTTTCATGAAAATACTTTCGAACGTTATTTTTCGATGTCGACGCAGAAGAATTTCTCGGTGCATATATTACGGTATGAATAACTGAAAATGAATACTTCGTGTAGTAAAAAAGCAGATAAATGATATTTTTTGTTAATGCAAACGGAAATTAAAATTAATGTTTAAGAAAAAGAAAACGATTTCATAGTTTTGCATCTAATTAGAAACAAATTCTGTCTAACGAGGAAAGATCCCCAAATGATTCATCGCTTTTGGCTCCATATTTTGCCCATAAGTAGAGGTCTTGTAGACTAGAAAAAGCCTAACAGGATATGGGCCCATATTACAATTTGGCTGAGATACTCAAGATTTACCCAAAATTTCCTGTGGGATCTTGGTTTTCCAGCAAAATCATATTTTCGAATTTTGAGCTGAAACTTTGCCCAGATAAAGTCCTCAATTGGACTAGCTTGTAAAAAGAAATTCAGTACTTTTGGACATAGTATTACTGAGATATGAATTTTCCAAAATACAGGCGCTTTTCGATTGATATTGTGTAAAACATGAATACTTTGAAAAATTCATATCTCAGTAATATTATGTCCAAAAGTACTGAATTTCTTTTTACAAGCTAGTCCAATTGAGGACTTTATCTGGGCAAAGTTTCAGCTCAAAATTCGAAAATATGATTTTGCTGAAAAACCAAGGTCCCACAGGGAATTTTGGGTAAAATTTGAGTCTCTCAGCCAAATCGCAATATGGGCCCATATCCTCTTAGACTTTTTCTAGTCTACAAGACCTCTACTTATGGACAAAATATGAAGCCAAAAGCGGTGAATCACTTGGGAACCTTCCCTCGTAAGTTTAATTTGACCCAAGGCAATTATGTGATATGTGTTTTACCTATAATAAATTTTTCATTAATGTCTGTCACGGTTTAATGTCGAGTTTACCCTTAGTGTAACACATGAATACTTATTTTTCAGTGACACTTATAGTCATAATTTGAAACATNAAAGAAAACTATTTGATGCGTTCGAAGAAAAATAATATTGGTTTAGTACGCTTCTAATTACTTTAGATAAATAATACAAAATGATTCAGAATATATGAAAATAAAATGACACAGTATATTAGGAAACAATCTTGTAAACAGCGCAGAAATATATTTTTATCTGTGGGAACAACACACATACACAGTACTAAAATGTAATCTCTTGAGAATTAGATATCAAGAGTTATAATACTCATTCATTCATTCAAGCAGAAAAAAAGAAAAATAATGTTGTCATCAAAAATCGAGCAGCATTATAATTATAAGGTATTCTACTATGTTTGGATATATAATTAGCCTCTAATGTATTCTCTATTTTTTGTGTTGTGCTTTTTATTACAACTTTTCTATCGAGATTTTTATAACAAGCTATAAAGATTACTTACGATAGGAATATATATGAAATTCCGTTCCAATTTAATCTTAATATAATAGAATTCAAAGCAAATACGCTCAAAGAATATAAATATGTTCTCTTTTTTTTGAGGAAATTGCTGATTGTGCAAACATCAGTCAAAAATACTGTTAGAATTCTCTTTTTTTTTTGTTATCTGTCTAGTAAGTAAAGCAGGCGATATAAGAAGCAGAAATCATATTTGATTGTGAGCTATAGATACAAATAAAAAACTTTAAATGATAAAAAACCTAGTCTAATACAAGATTCAAATAAAGTTTTTATATGCTATTATTAATATAAACATATATAAAAATAGAACTCGAGAAGATAATAAAATTCACCATGACATAGTAGTATGGAGTAGCATATCGTGCGAAAAGTATGGCATAAATAGAGATGAATTCAATCCAGCTATATATCTTTATGAAAGAAGCCTACAGGGTAGATATTCGTTATTTCTAAAAGGTTACATTGTTTTTTCTGAGAAGACTGTTTACAGGCCGGTGAATTTGATCGGATCATGAAAACTATCATAATTCTCATGTGAAGAAAGAGGATGATAAAAGATGACGTACAAGTATATAGACTAAGTTTAGTTATTTTTATTATAGAAGACATGATTATTGATTATTCATTCGTAATCAATCAAAATAATATGTTAAGAAAAAAAAAACACCAAGAGTTGTCATTTTACGTTAATAAATTTTCTGAAATTATATATACATTGAATAAAAAAATCCTGATTAATCAAGATTTAGATCTCTATGCACGGATTCACAGTTAAATACTTTCAAATCGATTTTATGCTCCCTGAATATTGAAAGGTTAAAGAAAGTACGTAGGAAGTTATGGAAAAATAAGTAAACATTATTTAAATATTATCTATTTGTATGTTTTCATAAGACATTAATACTATTTGAATTGATGCAAGTTTTTCATATATCTTTTTTTTTCACGAGTTGAAGGTAAGAAGAGTTAATTTATTTCAATTAAATATTTGATCTCTTGAAAGTGACAAACTAGAAAACATAAAATTACTCATGGCATTTATATTTACAAATGCTGACGTGCTTTTCCTCACCAATCATATTGGTTCTTACGAAACAATAAGAAATTCTCGCCTACTATGGCAAAAAAAGTTCTTTTACTGATGTAAACATCCACAAGACTTTACATTATTAATTATGAAATAGAAGTAACGAGATCAAATATATAAAGAATCAAATAGATGATGTTTCCATAAAAGTTAACTGTCTATCTATGAAATTATTTTGTGAAACAAAGCCTAAAAGAAATGTTGCGGTATAGAAATGAAAGTTTGCAGTTCTCCTTCTCTCCCTACAGACTGTGACACGCATTGATATACGATCACAGACTCAATGTTAATAATTTTTTGTCGTGTTATAGTATATGAACTGCTTCTTTATTGTATTTTTGGAAGATTAAGTAAAAGAAGGGTGAAGAATATATGTTCCAAAATAGATGAAATAATTCCACTGGGGATTGCACTAAGAGTGTTTTCTTTTCAATTTTCTCTCCACAAAACAGATGACACATATCTGTAGTGTATAATTCTGATTCATGAATTATCAAAAGAAATAAAACAATAGATTTAATTCTTAAAAAAGTTGAAAAACAATGTTTTTCGTAAAAAAATATATATGAATATAAAATATTCAATCATAAATCTAATATGTTTAAGGTTTACTGTTCTAAAATGGGCTGCTCACAATCGAAAACAGAAACAATATCTAATAAGTCTATTGAACAAGAATCGCGTCCAAAATCTATTCAATCTTGTTCATTAACTAATAAACAATCTGATCGTATTGTAGAAGACTGCATTATCGTTTGGTTTTTTAATGATACTTCCATAGACATTAAGATTGAAAAAGCTAAATTGCGTCATGTGGTTTCAACAGTAAAAATCTTTACCGATCATGATGCTTTTATTAATTATATTATAAACATTCGAATCGAAAGAATATTTCTCATTATACCTTCTACAGAAACGTTAGTTGAATCAATACAAAATTTACCCCAAATTGAAAAAATTTACGTTCTTCATTCATCTTTTCATGAAATCGATAACACTATAGATGTTACTACATCATCAAATATGTTTTATGATATTGATAATCTTTCTCAACAATTAGAGACCGATGTCGAATTGTGTGAACTTGATCTCTTAATTATTACTGCTTCGGCTTCATTATCAAATGATGACACTACATCGACTGATGCAAAAAAACAAGAAGCATTATTTCTTTATGTACAATTAATGAGAGAAATTCTATATCGATTGAAATTTGAAAGTAATGCTAAAAATGAATTTATTAAATTTTGTCGACTACATTATGCAAATAATTTCGAACAAATATGCATGATTGATGATTTTGAAAAACATTATCGACCACAAAAAGCAATTTGGTGGTTGACACGACAATGTTTCGTTTGGCGTATTCTACAACGCATGCAACGTACGTTTGAAATTGATATTCTTTACAAGTTAGGTTTTCTTCTTAAACATGCACATACACAACTTACTAATTTTCAAGAGAATAATTCTTTTATGCCAGAAAATTTATTAATTGTCTATCGTGGTAAAACAATGTTCAACGATCAGTTTATTTCTTTAATAAAAAATAATTGTGGTGGTCTACTCTCATTTAGCAATTTCTTTACAGCTCACACAGATAAAGAAATTAGTCTTAACTTTATTCGTCGCCGTCTTACTGCTTTTCTTAATACAATTGGTATTCTTTTTGAAATACATCTCAATTCGACGATACGCAGTACAAGAAGTCCATTTGCTGCACTTGATAAAGTTCATGGCGATGAACAGATTGAAAAAGATGGTATTTTATTTAGCTTGAGTACTGTATTTCGTATTGATTCTATCAAAGAATTTACTGACGATTTAATAATTACTATATGGACTGTAAAATTAAGTTTAGTTGCTGATGATGATCAACAACTACTTCGTCTTGTAGCACCATTACGAAGCAATGAAATACATGCTAATCCATTGTCATATGTAGGCAAATTATTCATGGAAATGGGACAATACGCATATGCTGAACAATTCTTTATTGGAATGTTACAAGATACGTCAGTTCTTAGCCAACCACGTCGTCTTGTACGTGTACATAATGGTCTTGGTGCTAATTATATGATTACTGGTGACTATATGAAAGCATTAGAACAGTATCAACAAGCACTTGATGTCAGTTTGAGTTATTTACCACATTTACATACTGATCTTTCTCCTCTTTATGACGCTATCGGAAAAAGTTATTTTCATCTAGGTGATTATGAAAAAGCGGTAGAGAACTATGAAAAAGCAGCGGATATAATTGGACTGAATGATCAGTCAAGCAATGATCAATTTATCAACGATTTAAAGATGCGCATGGACAATACTAAGAAACTATTTAACAAACAATAATTTATTGGTTCTATTTTTTTGACAACAATTTGTCATGTTTCTTTAATAAATTCTCTTATTCTGTATTGAATATTGTACACAACGTACTCTTACCCAGACAGACAATAAATAGTTAGAAATGAGTTTAGAAGCATGTTAACGTATTTGTTCGCAGAATTTTTACTTTAAACACCTTACCATAATTTATTTTGCAAGATTCTGATTCAAATTGTTAAAAACCGTAATTTCCTGTTATTTTTCGGGAAAAAACACGGTTAAAAGATATTTTTTTTCTGTTTGATTGCCAGAAAATAAGTTGTAACTTGATAAATTATATTATTGTTATATTCTCAGTAAGTGGTGCTCTTGTCACTTACCAGTTTCTAACTGTCGGTGGTTGTTACCACTAACTTGTTACTAGTGAGCGTTTAGTTTAACTATTCTATAGTATCTATATATTGATTAAATATACTTAAATCATGTAATGATAATGTGTAAGTAATCAATTTGATTTTTCTTTCGTAAATAATAAGTTTCTACATGCTACTTCTTAGTAATAGGCGACTGATAATTAGAATGCATGTGTTACTAATGAAAAATAAAAAATAGTCTACATTAATTATTGTTATTGCGTAGAAATTTTAAAAGTGGAAAATTTTTTCTACTATTAATAGCCGAAGTCATAGTAAAGATATATGTAACAATCTAAGTGAAAACACTCCTCATACTGAGTTTTTATCATGATTTCAAATCTATTGGTGTTGTATCTTCTCAGCAATATCTCAGTGCTACAAATAGATTGTTAAAACAAATATCATTCTTTGCTAATATTTGATGACAACGAAAAACAGGTTTTTCTTTCACTTGCTACAGTTACACTATCATGAACTGACATCGTGAACGAAACGAGACTTGTAATACATCTCACATTGAATATCTTTTTAGAGTCAAATTATTAAAAACAGATACTAGATGTACTTTTTTTTAAAAAACATTATAATATCATCTTGCCAACATATCAATTTATTTTATTGAACATTCAAGAAAGTCAATTTCAGTTTGATTGTTTCTTTTAGAAGCGGAAATATGTATGAGTAACAAGCGTAACCAATAAACAGAATTAAGTTAGTCTATCTTCTAATTGCTTATAAATATTTTAAAAAAATCATGTTTCAGTTTAGTTATTTTATTAAGTTTCCATAATTTACCATTTCTGATTTTTTCTATTTTTTTCTACATCAGACAGAGACCTAGTTCATTATTCGTTTCCATTCGAAACAATTTTTCTGCCGCTCTCTCTTCTATTACCATTCAGCACACAAAGAAAAGAAATAAGAAAAATTATTTTTTTCTCTTTCCTTCGATGACTTACTGGTTGTGTCTTTTTCATGTACTCATTTGTGCTGTAGCTCATTTACAGAGTAGTAGTTACCAAGGTTAACTTTCGACTTAACTTGTAGTTTATACTAAGCATTAATGTACAATTCAGTTTAAGTAATGTATATCTTTATTTTGTGTATATGAATAAACGTATCTAACTCAGACAAATGTCTTTTCTGAAGAAAATCTTTCAAAATGAGAGAGAGACAAAGGTACTTCGTGTATTGTTAGCAATAGTAAGATTTTCTAAAAATTTCTGATATCGATCCAGTTACTATGATGACTATATGTTAGATAGACAAAAATACAAACATCTCAATCACTACTCTTCAAAAATTAAAATAACAATATTCCAATCATATTTCTTTTGTTAAAGTGTTTGATGAAGAAAGTTCGCTATTACTAGGACACTTGTAGGATGAGTTGCTTGAGACGATTAGAGTTTCAATGAATTAATAAAAATAATTTTAGTTCTTCGGCAAATGAATAAGCTACATAAAAATTCATCACTCAAGAGAACGATAGATAGAAACATTTCGATAAAGATGACACTGTCGTTTGAAAAATAGACTCGAAGTTTGCGACAGTTTTCAATTCCTATAGAATATCGCTGTTGTTTTCAATTGTATTTCATTTTAAAATTTTGATAATATGAACTAATTGAGACAAGGATAAATTTAGTGCCGTCAATAGAGTGGAATACTTGTCAGTAATTGCTATTCATATTGTAGTTTTCTAAGTATTAGAAATTTGTTAGATAATTAGTGATTTGCCATTTTCTTCGCAGACTCCTGTGTTAATCTTAATATTTACAGATATATTTGCTCAACAATCTAAATCGTCAATTATTTTAAATATGACACTTGAGTTTCTTATTATAAATAGAATAAGCATAAAATTCTCTAAGTACATGGCATTCATTGCTTTACGGTTATGCGTCCATTTATTGTAAATGACATTTAAGAATTCAGCAGCCAAGTATTTGAGAAACAAGAAAATAATATTGAAATTTTTTACAACGATAGAATATTGAAAATGAAAAGAGCATATCGAACAAATGAGATTAGATAAATTTCAGCTTGTAAGAGGAAGGATAGAGAAAACTGGATAGTCTGAGAAAGCTATCCTGTCCTGAAAATTACTATAAGTTTGAATGTAGTAACTATTTTTTCAGCGATCAACACAGAGCACCTAGAGGATGTTTCAAAAATTTCTACTCAAAAGTATTTTTTCGCATAACTTCACTATTGATTGATCTTTCTCAGGCAGACACGATAAGGATCAAAACGATACCCAGTCAAACGTCAATTTCGAAAACACGCATTGGTACGCGAGGAAAATCAAGAATCTTGCGTGTGCATGCAGGATATTTTTCATTTGCTCGAGTTTTGCGCTAGAGCACGCATGTTTCTTTCAAAATATTCGAATCTTGTGTGTAAACACAAGGCAATGGCACTTGCGCACACACGCGTGATAGAATTACATGCATGCGAACACAGGTTTACTGGGATTTTAAGAAAACATGTACGAACATGCAGAATTTTGTGCATGCGTGTACTCGACAGCTGTATTCTTGCAAATTTGTGCAAGAAATATAATTTCCATGTAAACGCAACAGTTTTACCTGCATATACATGCATGATAGGTGTAGTATTTTCAAATTTTGTATGGAGGTGCACGAAAAAATGTAACTTCAGACACATATGAGCGCATGCAATACATAGCAAAAATAGTTCTTCAGTTTTTATGCTCGGTAACTTAGGAAAAATATGTAATTTGAAAAGTTCATGGAGTACGCCCTTTTATACTTTTTCTAATATACTTGCATGAAGCTTTATATTTTATTTTCTGAATAACATGTATTTTCTTTTAAATGCACCCCATGTAAGCACAATATTCTTTATTTTAATTGCACTAGTAAATTGAAAATAAATTGTACAGGCATACTACAACGATTCGAAAAGGTAAGAAAGCAAGAAACCTATAAGAGTTGTTACATTTATCAGCATAAGCTGGTTTGCTATTCAAATCACATGCCAAATAAGCAATAAAAATCCGTTTGGTTCGAAATAATCAAAAAAGAACATTAGGATATGAATACGTTAACGTTAAGTTTTAGGTCAAAAATAATAATAAGTATAGTTTTGCTTGTAGATCGGTCAAAATTTGATAAGATGCTACTATGACAACGCATGTCTGACAGAAAGACTTAGCATTTATCTTTATATATTCATGGAAAACAGCACTTAAATCTTCGCATGTACAAGAATCTTTTACTCGCGTGTCTCCCATCATAAATAAAAGACATTATTTTCTCAATACTAATGAATATCGATCAGTAGTCGAATGGTAAGAATGTTCGCTTGTCAAGAAAATATGTCAGGGTCGAATCCGTATGTAAGTATTATGTTCATATATTCCATGGGTGTATATGCCTGTAGAATAAGTATTTCCTGTGTGTAAATGGCAGCACATCGTATACATGATATCATTCATTTTTAAATATTTTTTTTGCTAAACATGCGTGAACCTGCAAAAGCTATACTCGCGGAAACTCGCGTGTAATCATTCCAACTTTTTGCGTGCACACGCGAATATAGTTCACCCTGTGACGCGTTCACACGCATGCAAAGTTATAGTAATACATGCATGGACACGGGCCTATTATCACGCATTTACATGCATGTTTTTTAAAATTACGTTTGACTGGGATGTCTAAATATCTCAATAGGAAAACTGTAAAAAATGTTTAATTAATCGCCAAAATTCGATTAAAAGAGTTAAAGATCAATTATGTTTTAGCTCCCAGAGTAGTTGAAACTTCTACTATTTTAATGCGTTTTTTTGGAATAATCAAAGGCTTTTAACTTTTTTGAATGGTTTGAATGAAAGCGTTTCGTAACAATTGACAAATATTTCACGCAAATAATGCATTGACAAATAGTCTCTCAAATGTTCCTCTCCGAAAGTGTTTTTTCGGTTAAGTTCATTATTGATTGATCTTTATCAGCAGGTTGACTTTTTTTTTCTATGATAGATGACATCATCAAGGGTTCATTTACATGAACAAACTAGAAAATCGTTCTTTACAGTAATTATCTTTATCTGAAAAACAAAAATTTAGCATTCTTATCTGATTCCATAATAACGTTTCATAGCGTTTCTTGCTTTAGTTGTTTTGATTTCTGGAGTTATTCTAATTTTGAAATTGTTCAAATTTCAAAGAGTCATTTTATAGAAACTAGTTTTGATGTGTTCTCATAAAGAGAAATCCAATGGAATCAAGTCGAAATTCGAGCGATTAAAAAGGAAACGCTGCGAAATGTTATTATGGAAGCAGGAAAAACATGCTAAATTTTTGTTTCTCATAAAAAAGTAATTACTGTAAAGAGAATCTTTATAGTTTGTTCGTAAAAATAAAAATTTGATGATGCCACATGTTCTACAAAAAAATATAATTTTCAGTAAAGACTTTTCAGATATTTGGTACATACGTTTATCAATTCATTGTTTACATGAAATGCTTATTAATAGTTACGAAGCGTTTTCATCAAAACGATGAAATTTTCAACAACTATGAGCATTTACACATAAAAAAGTGTTAAAAAAATGATTAATCTTTAACTATTCTAACAGATCTTTAGTGACTAATGAAACATTTTTTAAATTCATTTATTTTTATGTTTAAATACCATTTCGACGGTTATTGTCTTCGCCTTCAGTAAAACTACTCAGTTGTTTTTGATTATAATAGCATCGTTTTTCTTGCTTCATACAGTGAATAGCTATAGATATAGTGTTATTATTTAAAATTAAAAAAAGTTTATAATGATGTTTTTAATATAATACCATAGTTCTTTACAGCTATACTTATTTAATGAAACAAAGTGTTACATCTTAATACATTTCTATATGATCTTTCAAAGCCGGGCATGTTTATCAGAGTCAAAAGAAAATTCTACATATTGTTCCTTTTTCTTAATTGATCTTTAATTAAAGTTTTATTAACCCTGTATTTTGTATCACTTGAATATATCAAGTTATTCATTTCTAACAAAATAAACATTATGAAATGAAAATATTTTTCCATAACTTGATTACAATGCCATCCTGGCAAAAATAGAACGACTTAATATTTTTACAAAATTAAATATATATTCTAATAGCGAGCAGACTTTTCTATAAACCTGCATTCCCGTGGAAAAAAATGTTAGACACGATATTTTTAGTATATCAATACTATAAAATTAATATATTGAGAAAAGTAATTATATATTCGAATAGCGCGCGACATTGTCGACAACTCCATATTTGTACGTTTCGAATTGCACTTGTTCACTAATATAGAAATTCAAGTACGGCGAAGACTCTCATCATCAGATTTTCCGGAAATTCATTTTTTGTTTTTTTTCATTTATTTTTTCAAATTTATTTCAATATAGGATCAAGTTTTTACGATAGCAAGTATATAGTGTGAATGTTCGTGAAATTTTCTACCATGCTATACTTTTGCCATTCTTTGATTTTCAATTATTTGATGACAAATGTTTAACATATTATTAATGTACCGTCATTCTGACACTTTCATTCTTGAGTACTTTACCACATAATTCATTCAACAGCCCATGAATAGACAGCTAATAATCAAATAAGACGTATAGATTATTATTCATCTGTCAGCCTTGATCTTAAAGTTATTCAGTTTTTGTGTCTTGTATGAGCCACTGTACACAGAGACATCATCCAAATTCTCAACATTACTTGACCTAGGAATGCCATAAGGGAGTTTCTTAACTATATTCGATATATTTATCATCAAACAACTAAAAGTCAAAGAGTAGCAAAACTATAGAACAACAGAAAATTTCACTAATCTTCACAATATATATCTACTCTTGTGATAGACTATTCCTATATTAAAACAAATTTGAAAAAAATCAACGAAAAAAGAAGAAAAAAAATGCATTTCCGAAGTGTCTGATGCTGAGATTGCATGCACTATACTTGAATATTTATTTTAGCGAACAAGTGCTATTCAAAGCGTACACATATGGAGTTGTGTAAAATTCTGTATGCAATCAAAATATATAATTACTTTTGTAAGAATATTAATTGATTACAATGATATGGCAAAAAATATTAAGTCTAACTTTTTTTTTCAGGAAAACATATAGCATACTTTCACTTCAATTCTCTGTGAATACACAAGAGAATAATTATTTCTGTTCACGACTAGCCCGACCGTAGATGTCACACCCTAATCATGAAACGTTTTCATTTTTTTCCTACATCATTGAAAATATTTCTTACGCTCTTCAAGAGACAATGATTTTTTCTTCCAAAACAAGCTTCGACATTCCTCCGAAGTGGGCTGCCTTGGGTCAGCTGTATCAAGGGTGCTTGGATCGGAGAAAGTTGACATTGATGCATGCCGGACATACAGAAGATAAAGTTATACACAATTAAAAAGATTCTTAAACAGTTTCTTTCACTACGCTTAATTATCCACCTAAAGTATTTCAGCATAATCTATCAGATTAGAATATAAACATGCCCAAGGGTTCTAATTATGACGAGCAAAATACCTTTTAAGTATTTTATTCATAAGTCGAGTTACATGCATCCTAGGACATTGCTTTTTATTTTTCAGCCAAGCGTGCATATTTCTACATCGACCATTACAATACTTCTTCAAAAAAAAGAAAAAATTAATTATTGAACGTAAACATTAAAATGTTATTCGATTCATTCTGACACAAGGCACCTTTTATCTTTCTCAGAACTAAAAATACAACATCATCTTATTTGTCTATCTCTTTTATCATCTGAGAAAAGTCGTCGACACAACTGTTTCCGTGCCTAATATTATGAAAGTCATATGAATTCTGTAGAGCTATTAAAGATAGATTTGAGAAACCTACATCAAATATCTCATATTATGATTATTTGAAAATCA